AAAGTAATTTATAAATTCAATGCAATCCCAATCAAAATACCCATGACATTCTTCACAGAGCTTGACAAAATCATCTTAAAATTCATATGGAATCACAAAGGACCTTGGATAGCCAAAACAATCTTGGGCAAAAAGAACAATGCTGGAGGGATCACCATACCAGATCTCAGATTATATTACAGAGCTATAGTCATAAAAACAGCATGGTACTGGCACAAAAATAGACATGTAGATCAATGGAACAAAATAGAAGACCCAAACATGAGTTCACATAACTTCAGCCACCTGATATTCAACAAAGGTGCTAAGAACACACAACGGAAGAAAGATAGCATCTTCAACAAGTGGTGCTGGCAAAACTGGATCTCCACGTGCAGAAAAATGAAACTTGACCCTTCTCTTTCACTCCGCACAAGAGTCAGCTCCAAATGGATCAAAGACCTCAGTTTAAAACCTGAAACTCAGAAACTTCTAGAGGACAACATAGGCAGCACCCTCCAAGATAGAGGCACAGGAAAGCACTTTCTAAACCGGACACCAGCTGCTCAGGCACTAAGGTCAACAATCAATAAGTGGAACCTCATTAAATTACAAAGTTTCTGTACCACAAAAGAAATAACTAATGAAGGGAAGAGGAAACCCACTGCATGGGAGAAAATCTTCACCAAATACACATCTGGCAGAGGATTAATATCCAGAATATACAAAGAACTCAAAAAAAGAAAGTAATAAGAAAGTAAATGACCCAATAAAAAGATGGTGATAGACCTAAACAGAGTTCTCAAGTGAAGAAGTAAAAATGGCTAAGATGCACCTGAAAAAAGTCCTCAACATCCCTAGTAATTAGAGAAATGCAAATCAAAACCCTTTAAGATTTCATCCTACTCCAGTCAGATTGGCCAAGATCAAGAGAATGAAAGACTCCAAATGCTGGAGAGGATGTGGAGAAAGAGGAACGCTCATTCACTGCTGGTGGGAATGGAAATACATGCAACCACTATGGAAAGCAGGGTGGAGAACCCTCAGAAAACTAAAAATGAACCTACCGTATGATCCAGTGATAACACTCCTTGGCATATAGCCAAAGGACTCATCATACTGTAGAGATACCTGTACATCCATGTTTGTTGCTGCTCTCTTCACAATAGCTAAGAAATGGAAACAACCTAAATGCCCCTCAACTGATGAATGATTAATGACAATGTGGTACATGTATTCAATGGAGTTCTACTCAACTGTTAGAAAAGATGAAATTGGGGCTGGAGAGATGGCTCAGCAGTTAAGAACACTGGTTGTTCTTGCAGAAGACCCAGGTTCGAATCTTAGCCCCCGCATGGCAGCTAACAACTGTCCATAACTCCAGTCCCAGGGGATCTGAGAGCCTCTGAAAAGCAAAGAAATAGAAACTACAGAAGTCATAGATTACTGGTCTGTCATCCTCTGATGAGAAGGCAAGTTATGACAGCAAGAGATTCAAGGGGACCACAAAGAGCCAATTCGGTTCTTATAATTTTCTTTCATTTTTTTTGAAACAGTCTTCTTGTAGATCCAACTGGCTTGGAACTTAGTATGTAGACTAACTAGCCTCAACCTCACAGAACTGCCTACTGTGCCTCCTGAGTGCTGTGATTAAAGGCAAGTGTCACCACACTCAGGTTCTTATCTTTTATGACCGCTGTTTTATGCTTCCCTCTGCAGGTTTTATTAGCAATAAAAATATTTTTTAAGATAGCAGGAGTCAGAAGGTATTGGGGGGAGGATGGGGATAAAGAGGACACTATGACTAGGGAGGGAGGGAGGACGGAACCCAAGTGGGAGAAGAAAGAGTGGCAATGAGTGACTCTCAGGGGTCTAGGAAACTTAGAGTGAAAAGCGATGTCCTGGAAACCTTTGAAAAATGCACGTGGAGTAACTGAACATTAATGTATATGTATACCTAGAAGCTGCTTGGTAGGAAATGTAGTGCCAGGTAGAAAAGACCTCCCTTAGAGGGACAAACATGCCATATAGCACTCATCAAAGAAGGTTTTTTTGCAACAAATGGAGGCTTCTGCAGAGTTGTACATCTGATCAGGCATAGAGAACATGCACCTGGGGGATGCCCAGTACTAGGTGACACACCTACAGTCGAATCTCTACAACTAAGGCTCATGGAGCATAGTGGAACACGGGGTCTAGAGAGGGCTAATATGCCCCTCAACTCTCACCAGTGAGGCTTCCACGTACATCAGAGTGTGTTACACACAGAAGGCCTCAACTGGCCAACTTTTGGAGAATAAGAGACTGTAGAGTGTAGGATGGGACTCCTATATGGAACCTCACCTGCCCACACCTCAGAGACCACTGCGGAAGAGGAGGCTGAAAGATTGTTAGAGCCAGGGCTGGTTCATGAAAGAATGAGGTGGAGGTTTCGAGGCCAATGGAGGCTTGTTCATGTGTGCCCGGGGCAGAGCAGTGGCATCCAACACAGGACCCATGTCAGCTGAATCAAACAAGGGCCCAAAGGGGAGGTGAGAAATAGTGGGGGGGGGCAGCACTAGATCAAGAACTATTTGAGACTGGTTGATGCTGGGTGAGGGTGAATGTGACTTGCATACGACCACTGGATGGGCTGATTAGATTCTAGTGGACGCATTTGCACTGAAGGACATTTGGGTACAAATGCCTGATTGAATAGGACTCAGCATGTATGGCAGAGTACACAGAGTTTGGTGGGGGGAGGGGCATGGATGGGGGAAGGGGTCTGGATGTGAGTGGGAAATACTGTATGAAGTTTTAAAAGCTCAATAAAAAATTAAGTGCACTAAAAAAATAAGTCAAACAAGTAGAGTTGTTCAATAATCAGTATTACTCAAGAACAGCTTCTCTGTTCCAGTTTATTCCAAGATTTGTTTGCTTTAAGGGAGATCATTAGGGATAAACTAGGGATAGGGAATTCAAAGGCTGTCTGGAACACCCACAGGCACCTATCCAGTATCTGGTTTTTAGACAAGCGATTCATTCCAAAGCAAAACAAATTTCTTAAGACTAAAATAGGTCATGCTTTCTAAGATGACACCATTTAGGGGCCTGCCAAGTCCACAGAATTAGTCCAGTTGAGCAAGAGTATGTGTTCTAAAATGCCTAATAAGGTTCCAGTGATGACTGAAGGCTTTCCCACACTCATCACATTTGTAAGGTCTCTCTCCTGTGTGGCTTCTCTGGTGAGTCATACGGAGTGTCCAGCTACTAAAGTTTTTACTGCACTGACTACACTAACAAGATTTCTCAGCAGTGTGGATGCAGAGATGCTGGAAAAGCTCCGCATTCTCAATGAAGACTTTGCCTCACTCATTACACTGGTAGCGCTTCTCTCTGGTGTGTATCTGCTGATGCGGGACAGGATGTGAGCTAAGGCGGAAAGCTTTCCCACAGGCTTCACATTCATAGGGTTTTTCTCCTGTGTGAATTCTTCTGTGTCTAATGAGGTCATTGTCGGCACTGAAGGCTTTCCCACACTCTTTACATTGATAAGGTTTCTCTCCAGTATGGCTCCGCTGATGTTCATTCAGGCCTGATTTCTGGTTGAATGCCTGCCCACACTCTTCACCTTTATATGGCTTCTCTCCAGTGTGGATTCTCTGATGCTGAATGAGGACTGAGCTCTGAGTGAAGCTTTTCCCACATTCATTGCATCTGTAGCATCTCTCTCCAGCAGGGTGTTGACACTGCTTTTCTATCCTCTTATATTTACAAGCTTCTCTGTACTTAGGATTCAGAAGAGCATCTTTCTGAAGTCTTCTAGTCCCAAAATGTTCTGCTTTGTTTAAGATTTCTTGCTTTGAAGCCAACTCCTGATTTATAGGTATAGTTTTACCACCTGGAGTAATAAATGGACGGACAATTTCATATCAGAAAGATACATCCCAAGAATGCAAAACTGGCAGTAAAATGTAAGGGTGGGTTAGAGAGGGACATTACGGTCACCAGCACTGTAGAAATGGCTGGAGAGGAAGCAAGGCTCATAGGATATGCACAGGCAGGTACTACAGTGTATTCGCTGCAAGGCATTATTCTAAGTGTTCCACTCACATTAACTTATTAAATCTTCAACTAACTCTTTTCCCAAGGGACTATGATTTTTCCATGCTAGAGATATATAAGCTGAAGGCTCAGGCTGATTGTCAAGAGCTATTTAGTAGCAATACTTAACTCCAGCACAGGCAATTTGGTCCCAGAATCACAGTCGTAACTAACACCCTACTCAGAACCATCTCTTAAAACCTGTAAGAGTCCTTACCTTGTTCTTGAAATTGGTGGAGGCCAAAGGAGTCATTATTTGAGTTGTGTCACCATGGACTGGGTGACTGTTGATTCTTGCTTGGCCTTTGGAAGTACCACATCTTCTGAGAACACTCCAGAATGTTCATGCTTCTGATCTGTGGCTGGAAGGCAAGTATATGCAGATTTATAAGAGAACTGTGAAAGCCCAAACTAATAATTAATGCAAGATAGCATATGGAACCATATGAAACATTTTATAATGAGATGATTCAATGGAAGGACCAGAATTCTATTTCCCACGGAAGAGCAGAAAGAGAAGAACAAAAGTGAACCAGTAAAGTACGCTTGTTATTAGGTCATGTTATTTGGTGCGTCTCCCTTTAAAAGGTGTGCTTGTTATTAGGTCACGTTATTTGGTATGGCTCCCTTTAAAAGGTGAGATCTAGCTGGGTTTGGGTAGCACAACCCTAAGTTACACAGGAGGCTGAAGAAAATCACAAGTTAAAAGCCAGCCTGGGCAACTTAAGACATAATTTAAAAGGGGATGAAGTCTATCTTATCAGTTGTAATGCTCTTGCCTAGCATGTGTAAGGCCCTGGGTTCAATCCTCAGTATCAGAAAGAAAAGGGGGGAGGGAGGACCTAATTTCCCTCACCCTAGTGTATGCTGTATCTGACGGTTCATTTCTACTGAACAGAAAGTATGAGAGAAATGATGGTGTTTGACTTCTTGACAAGAACTACAACACTGTGGCTTTTTCCGTTCTTTCTTTCCACTGGGGAAGCCAGCTAAAGTGTCATAACAACACTCAAAAACAATCCTAGTGTAATATGCCTTCTACTGAAGAGGGAAAGAAATAAGCCCTTATAGATATTTTATATATGCATGTGATTGGTTTTGGCTGATTTTATATTTTATTAGTTATCTTATGGTTTCCTTAGTCAATATTGTTAAACTGTGGTAAAATGGAGAACACAGGAGGCCAGAAACAAACACCACAACTATCTAATGGAACAACTGTCCTGTTGTAAGGCAAGTAACACTTGCTTACTACATCTGTTTTTGTTATCAAGCCTAAGCTTGACTTCTTAACCACAAAAAGAAATTTCTTTTAATTGTCCTGGAATGCATAGACAACTATGCTATAAATTATGGGAAATCATGGTTTAAACCCACCAGTGGTATACTGCTAAGAAATGACATGGAAAACCCTATAAAAACTGTGGATTGAATCAGGTCAGAGCCCAGACTCCACTACCCTCCATTCCCCCAGTAAGCTGAATGAAAGCTTGGAATAAAATAGATGGAGTGACTACTAGAGAACTAAGGCAAATTTTTAAAGATAAGAGTTTATGAATGTTGAGTGCTCAGCATGTACAAGTGCTTGCCATTCAAGCCTGATGACCTGAGTTTGATCCCCAGAACCCAGGAAAGTCAGATGCAGTGGCACACATGTATTATTCCGGCATTCCTACAGCAAGATGGGAAGTGGAGACAGGACAACTGCCCAGAAGTTCACAGGCCAGCCTGCATGGCATACACAGAGCAAGAGACGCAGAGGACATACCTCAAAACAAAAGGAGAGAACCAACTCCTAAAGTGTTGTCCTCTGACCTCCACACACATGCCATGGCACATGCACACCTGCACTAACGTACACATATAATAGATTTTTTTTAAAGGTAAGGGACTGCATCCACAGAAAGCATCCTTGTGATGCTCACTGCTACTTCCCCAGTCATTTCTGCCAGATGATGCGTCTGATCGGATGTTCGACTATTTATCTGCTCACTGTTTGTTCTTCTACTTCTGCTTGCTTTATACTTAACTCATTCAAAACTGAAAAGTTATTGTGGACCATTCTCCATGTAGAACAACTACAAAGAAACCAACATGGAAAAAATAAATAAATAAAATTAAAACCTCCTGCCAGCAGCCAGAGAGCAATTGAAGCCATCAACACCCAAACAACTGAGTTGTCTTGAGGTGGGTCTGTTGGCCTCAGCCATTCCATCAACGACTACACTAGAGTCTTGACTGACGTCATCACTGACACCTCATGAAATTCTCCCAAGCAGCACCCAAAGTCCCAATTCACAAAAACTGTGAGACAACATTGTTTTTATAAGCCATTAAGGTTCCCATAGCAACAGAGAACCAACCTCCCACCAAACTCCATGCTTTCTTCAGTATTTGATGCCTACAAGCCCATCCTCACCATCTTACCTGGTTCCCAGGTTCACTAAGCTCTTGCTCCAGATCTTCAAGCACAGCCACTGTGTCCTCCCCACTCTCTGGATGCTGTGCCTGCACCCAGGCCTGTAGGTCCTCAGGCAAGATGGTCAGGAACTACTCCAGCACCAACAGCTCCAGGATCTGCTCCTTGGTGTGGGTTTCTGGCCTTAGCCACTGATGACAGAGTTCCCGAAACTGGCTCAGAGCTTCTTGGGGACCAGGAGTCTCTTGGTAACAAAACTTCCTAAAAAGTTGAAGTGATGCCTCCTGGCCAGAAAAGCTGTTCATTAGAAGGTAGGTTTCTTGGTCCCAAAGAGGGTCTTCTTCTAACTTCACAATCTCAATCAAGTACACCCTGACTCTGTATTGAAACCATTCTGGAATTGATTTAGGAGGCTCACATCCATGTGAAGTGAAAAGAAAATTGCGATTGACTCTTCTTTAGGAGCACACACCTGACAATGGATGTATGAGTGTAAAAGTAGTGAGAAAAATACAAAAAATGGAAACAATAAATAGAATGTTATGATTTATGTTAATAAAAAGATATGTGGGGCTGGAGGGATAGCTCAGCAGTTAAGAGCACTGGCTGTTCTTGCAGAAGATCTGGGTTCAATTCCCGGCACCTACATGGCAGCTAACAACTGTCTGTAATTTGTAACTCCAGTTCCAAGGGATCTGACACCCTCTTCTGACCTCCTCAGGCATTGCATTGCATGACACAGGTGCGCTTACACACACACATGCAGGCAATACATTCATACACATAAAATAAAAAATAATAAATATTTTAAAAATAAAACAAAAAGGTATGTATATATAGGTACTTACACATTTGGAAACTGAAAAAAAAAGGATATGGGCAAAGCACATGAATGGATTTGTCTTCCCTGTCGTCATGGATTTGTAACTACCTCCCACCGTTGTGACTCTGAGTTCAACTATGTGACTTGATTTGGTAATGGGCTAATAGCACCAGAGTACCCAAGTAAAAGTCAGAGGACAACTTGTGGGAGGCAGTTATCTCCTTCCATCATGTGAGTCCCAGATTGTCAGGTTGTCAGGCATGGTGGCAAGTACCTCCATGGTGGCATTCTGCTACTGGGTGGAAAAATGGGGGCAAAAGAAAAAGTAGAAGCCAGAAAGGAAGCTGAAAGAAGGTAGGAGTAAAGCTACTGCACTCATGCTGGAAAGATGTCCACTTAGGTAAGAAGTTACCATAGTCTGTACTTTAATATAACTGAAAAATAGGGGCTGGAGAGATAGTTCAGCAATTAAAGAGCACTGGCTGCTCTTGCTGAGGACCCAGGTTCAATTACCAGCATACACATAGCAGCTAACATCCATCTGTAACTCCAGTTCCAGGGAATCCAACACCTCTTCGGACATCTGCAGGCATTGCGAGACACAGGTGCACCTACCTACATGCAAGCAATACACTTACACTTACACACATAAAATAAAAATAAAATATTTTAAGAATATATAACTGCAGGGGCTGGAGAGATGGCTCAATAGTTAAGAGCACTGGCTGTTCTTACAGAAGACTGGGTTCAAATCCCAGCACCTACGTGGTGGCTAGCAACCATCTGCAACTCCAGTTCTAGGGAATCTGACACCCTCTTCTGTACTCTGTGGGCACTGCACAACATGGGTGCACTTACACATATGCAAGTATAACAATCATACAAATAAAAATAAAGAAAAAAATTTAAAGAATATATGACTGAAAATAGATAAAACTAAAAGGAGAAACAGATTAAGTTTTATAAATGCAGTTCATTCACTAGATAGACATTTATGGAACTGTGCTGAACTGGGAACAGCCAGGAGCTTGTAACTCCTGGGATACAATTACAACACACTGAAATAAAAGCTGTAATTTGCAAGGCATATTCAAAGTATATTCCTGGAGAATCAGGAGAGTTCTTCCTAAATTTAACATTCAGTTTCTATGTATTACCCACAAAGAAATCATTTCATAAATATTTACTAAGTGCCTACTGTTTGCCATTCAGTGAAACAAATGCAGCATTTGAGTGTTCCCGTTTTCCTTCATTAAACTAAAAACATGACAGAAAGCATTAAAGAGCATTTTCCCATTAGCTTCAACATTCTTAGCAACAACAAAGAAATAATGTGATTTTGTATAATTCCAAAGGATAACTGATTACAATAGGGAAATAGATAAATAACAAATATTATGAAGAAACAAGCAAATCTAGAAGCAGATAATTTATAGGACCAGTGGGGTTTCTTCAACAAGACAATGGAATGGGAAGAAGAGAGGCGAGGGGCAGGATATAACTAGATTAAAGGAGACTTGAAAAAACAAGTGTCCCACGATTGCATCCTAGTTGGTACAAATCAACTACAAAAGACATCTATGGGACAACTATTGGTAGCAGAGATTTGGACACGAACTAGGTGTTAACACATTAAGGAGCACTCCTGTTTTTTGTTGTGCCTGTTAATAATATATTAGGTAGGAAAATGTCCTTCGGAATGCGTTAATACTGAGGGGTGTCAAATCATGATAGTAGTAATTTTTTACAAAAGAAAAACATGCAACAAATGTTAGCATTTATGAAATAAATCATGGCTAGAAGTGTGGCTCAAAGACAGAATGGTAGCAGGCATGCGGGAGTCCCGGCTTCCATCCCCAGCATCAAAAGATTAGAGGTTTGGGAAAGCAGCTCAGAGGAAAGGGCTTGCCTACCAAGCACAACACCCTGGGTTCCGCCCCCAGCATAATCAATTTCAAACAGTCAGTCATCAATGCCTCTACCTCTCCTGTGCCTCCAAACCCCACCAGGTACCACCCAGTCTGGGCTCCAGAACAAAGCTGGATCGCGCCCGCCCAGCTGCCCCCATCTCCCGTCTGCAAGCAAGCTCGGGATTCGGTCCGCCTGGGAGACTGCTTTCCCGAGCCCAACCACAGAGCCGGAAGTGCGTCATCAGTCCTGAGCCCAGGCACCAAACTAAGCCTCCTTTTCCTGTTCGTAGGAGCAGCTTTTCTGTAGAAATTGCGAGTTTGTACCTTGGTGACCGCATGACTGTTGAGCCCCACTGTGGGAATCCGAGTCAGTAGGGGGCGATGCCGCTGCACAGAAACCAAAACGGCGGGGCCTGGAGGGACCGCCCAGTTCCCTGCGTGGATCTCATCCATTTCGGTCCGCAGTCGAATCTGTCCCCTACCTCAGATGGATGACTGCCAGCACGGAGGAGAGGGAGGGAAGGGGGCGGGGAGATACATGAAAATATAAAATTGTTGCTGTTTTTTTGTTTTATTCCTCTGCCCATCTCCTGGAACCTCAAAGTCTAGAAGATGGGTATGTAAGTAACTATGGAGAACTGCCTTCTTTGTGAAAGTAAAAAAAAACAAACAAAACAAAACTGGTAAATCAGTTGGAATACTAAATTTTATATATGTATAACAGGTAACTTAGAAATTGGCTTGCTGAAAAGTAGATTTTTTTACTTGGGCCACAAAGTAACTAAACCCACAATACAGGCCTATCCCCTCTACTCTCATTTTCTGTCTTCTTTATGTAGGATTCCTGCTCAGCTCTGGACAAAGGTGTTAATCATCCAAGGAGTGTCTGTCTAAAAATGGATGATACTCATCCCTCACCAAGGCTCAAGTCAAAAGATAAGACTAATCGAGGTATCTTATGGCCAACTTTTGCCACTTCTTGTCTCAGACCCCTAAAACAGCACCTGAAAGTCATCAGTCATCTTCCTAAATCTGCAGTCACTTGGGCACCAAGAACAGCAGACCCCTACAGACAGATAATTCCATAATGAGTTCACTCCCGAGGAGAAGCAGTAATCTCACTGGTAACAATCAGCTGACTGGGGGCTCTTCCTTGAGAGACATGAGTAGATGAGGCTGGACTCTTTTTGTGTTGACAATAACTGGACCCTTTTGTACTCAAGGCCTAGGGTTATGGACTGGAAGACCGTAGATGCTTCCAGCTTCAAGCCTTGAGAGTTGGGGCCTTATTTCTCCAGGCTTTGGAAGCTAGAG